TCTGTCTGAAGTTGATTTTCTCTGAGTGGGTGCTCCATCAGACAGACCAGGCACCCCTGGGCCAACACCTCCGCCCCCCAGCTTTCATCCCCCATTTTGTAAATACCAGGGAGTGTTTCCTACCTGAGGGACCATTGATCTATTCTTAGCAGCAGCATGGGGTTTGAATGCCACAACAATAACAGTTTTGTTTTATGTTGGAAACACAAGCGTGCACGCATGCACACACACACACACTCTACTAATTCTCTTAATTTTTGAATTCTAGTTTTTTTAAATAAAGTTAGAAATCATTTGGCCTTTAACAAAAACAAAAAGGAGGTAGTGGTTGGGCTGGGAAGGTGGCTCAGTGGTAGAGTGCTTGCCTTGTATGCATGAGGTCCTGGGTTCGATTCCTCAGCACCACATAAGCAAAAAGGAAAAAGCTGTAAGTGGCGCTGTGGCTCAAGTGGTAGGGCGCTAGCCTTGAGCTGAAGAGCTGAGGGACAGCGCCCAGGCCCAGAGTTCAGAACCCACGACCTGACCCCCCCCAAAAAAGGAGGTGGTGGCAGTGAGTGAACCGCCTTGGAGCGCAAGCTTTCTGGCCGCGGTGGCACGGGTGGCCTTTCCTGCGGGGGTGAGCACTCGGGGTGGACGGCTGGGGGTCCGATAGCACGGCTCCCCTCCCGCGGGGTGGCCGCCACTGGCCGTGGTCACAGGCTGGGCAGGGTTGGCTCCCAGGAATGAGGAGTGAAGGTCTGGTCTCTTGTGATGGAGAATGGGAGAAAGATGCCAAGGCTGGGAGAAGCCCGGCAGGGGAGGAGGGCCCGCAGCAGCCCCACCAGGCGCGAACAGATGGAACAAAGGCCGGCCCCACCCTGTGCCTGGCGCCTGGTGACAGTCCTCGCCCTGTGAAGGAGGCCCCGCCAGCCTGGCCCGCGGGTGCTCTGTGTTCTCAAAACCCAAATTGTTTATGGCACAATGGCTGAGCAGGGAGTCATGGTCGGGCCAGTGGTTCTATGAGGGAACAGAAGCCAGGTGTGGCCCACGAGCCGGGGGACGTGATGGATGGTAGGACTGCTGCCCGCACCCCGCCCGCTCCACCCCCAGCCCAGGTCGGTCCGCCCAGCATATGGCCGACAAGGTCCTGAGCATCCGTGGGACCCAGTAACCCACTCAGTGGCCACAGAGCAAGTACTGACCCCGGCAGTGGCGGCGGCAGAGGCCTGGACCCTTGTAGCCGGCACGGCCTGGCCAGCTCGGCCCACCTGCTGGCCAGCTTCCTCTGCCCACACGGTGCCTGACTGGGGGCTGCTCCAAAAATGGGGGCGGAGGGGAGGGAGGAGGAAGCTAGGAGCATCACAGAGAACCTGGA